TGAGGCACAAAGAAGTCAGCTAACTTGCCTGGGCTGGCAGTGTTAGTGCTGGTAGGGCTGGAAGGCAAGGCAGGTAGTTGGACTCCGGAGCCCCGGCTGCCCTCACTCTGGTATGCTGCTCTCTGAAACAACGGTGAGATCATGCTGCCATAGATGCCTGCAAGGTGTAGGCACAGGCAGGCCAGGAATGGGCCTCCCAGAGAGAGGTGGCAGCTGGATCTTCAAGGGGTTTCTGGAAGTGTGTGGGTGGGTGAATGAGATAAGGGATTCCAGTGGAGGGAGATCCATGTCTGTTTCCATAGATGAGGAGTATGTGGGATTTCTCATTTCAAGATTGTGGTGCTGGGGGTGGGTGGTCTGAGATTTCCAGAAGAGAAATAAATAAAGAGTGATTCCCTTGGAGGCTGGCGAGAGAGCCTGGCTCCCCACTGGGATTTTGTGTTTTGCAGTTCCTTCTGGTATGTGACAGTCTTTCAACACACTGAGCTGGGTACTGCTTGGGGTTCCAGGGGCAAGTAGGAACTTTGTACCCACTGGTCCTTCCTGCTCTGACTATTCCCCCTTCGCCAAAGTATCTCCTCCTCCACTCCCAGCTCAGACGTCTGCTTTGAGGCTGCAGATGGGCCTTCCTGGATGTGTTCCCTCCCTCCAATGTGCACCTGGCTGGAGCTACCTGCCTCTTCGCCACGTGCAATAAACCCAAGTGCTTTGTTTTATCTTCATATCTTTTAACCAATTGTCAACATTCAAAAAATCAGGAAATCTCATTTAAAAAATTCAGTTTTTAGGGCCGGCCCCGTGGTTCACTCAGGAGAGTGCGGCACTGGGAGCGCCAAGGCCGCGGGTTCGGATCCTATGTAAGGATGGCCGGTGTGCTCACTGGTTGAGTGTGGTGCGGACCACACCCTGCCGAGGGTTGCGATCCCTTTACTGGTCAGAAAAAAAAAAATTCTGTTTTAAAAATTTTTTTAAAAACAAATAATGGGGGGTGGGGTCAAAGTCAATGATTGGCTAGAACCCCAGCACAGCTGTGAGCTTTGGGGGGTGGGGGGGGGGATGCCTCTTAACTGATCCAGTCCCTGAGTGTGTCTGCCCCATGCCAGCTCTGAGTACCAGGGGCATCATCATCCAACATCTTGCCATCATGGTACTTTCTTGCCCAGCCTCTGTGGGCATTTGAGTTGGAGATCTTCAGTGTATAGCATCTCATGTTGTCCTGACTCTAATTTAAATGGTGAGTAAGTATCTGTTTGTATGTCTGTTTCTGCAGCTGGACTATAAGCTCGCCGAGGGCAGAGTCATGTCTATTTATCCTCTTATCCCTTGAGCTCAGCACAGAACCTGGTTTTCGGTCCTCAGTAACCTTACTGAATTGTCTCCACTCACACTTGTGATAGAATGAGGGCCTGGCAAGTCCTTCTCAGGGCTGAGGGACTCAAGCTGTTGGCTGTTGGGTGTTGGGTGTGAGGAATGTGGACGGTGGTCTGCAGTGGGGCTCGGGCTTCAGGAGGGGCTTGCAACCCATTTATATCCCTAAAGTGTGCTGTGTGCAGCACATATCCATTCCTCGCTGCCTTTCTGCATTTCAGGACATTCCAGGACCTGTCCAAACAAGTAGAGATGTCTTATGGCACCGTCCGGGATTCTGCAGTGTATGAGTACTTTCGAGCCAAGGGCACCAACCCCCTGGAGCAGGACAGCACGTTTGCCGAGCTCTGGCGGACCATCAGCAAGAACGGAGGTGCTGACAACTGTGTGTCCAGTCCTTCAGAAGGCATCAGGAAGGTAGGCGGGAGCTGGCACTTGGGCACGTGCGCTGGGACAGAGGCCGTGGGTGTGGTTATTTCCGAGTTCGGAGGCATCTTCCCAGAGACATCTGCCATTGCAGGGCCCTGGCAGGGTAGTCCTTCTTCACACATTATTTAGGTAGATGCCCCTTCCTGGCAGCAGAAGCAGAGGGACTGCTCATGATGTGCCTCCTGAGATTCCAGGAGGGTGCTGGGTGGGCAAGAGCAGGCAGATGAAGCCCGAGCCCTGGACTGCCCTCCTCATGGGACAGTGGGGTGGGGGCACAGAGGGGCCTGCCCACCCAGGTGAGAACGCTGGGCAGCAGCAGAAGCAGAGCAGCAGGTGAGAGGTGGAGGGAATGAGGGTGGAGGTTCGGGACAGGGTGGGTGCACTGTGAGCTGGCCTGGCACTCTGGGAGGGGAAGATCCGGCCACGTGGGCAAGGCGTATCTTTGGGCTGTGCTGTGCAGAAGCGGTGGATTCAGGGACAAAGCCTGTACTGGGCAAAACCTTACATCGGGAGGTCAGGTGGGAAGAGGCCAGGCCAGAGAGAAGAGGGTGGGGAAAGGCTGCTCCCTCTCGAGCAGCGTGCTGGCTGCTGCTCATTGACTTCAGTTCATTTCCCACCATGGCCCGAATTAGCACTGTTGCCCGTTACACAGATGAGGATCAGTCGCACTCCCAGTCAGGTTCTGCCCCCTGGACTCCTTGGGGTCCAGGCTGAGGATTTGGTATTGATCTGCCACACGCTGATGTGTGGCTTTTAAAGAGGATGAAAATGGTGGGATGAAAGTGCTGTCAAAAGGCTGCTTCTGGGGGTTGTGTCCTTCTGTCCAGTGTTTCCCACATGCAGTGCTGCTGTCCTTGTGGTCATTAGTGAGCCATGTGAGAAAGATGCACAGCACTACTGCCTCTCTGAGCAGACCGCTGCCCGGCTGCCTCAGTATCTCCTCCCGTCTTTCCCTACTCTACCAACGCACTGCCTCCGTGGAGCCTTCTCACACACATGGTCTCACACACACACACACACACACACACACACACACACACACAGAGTTTAACACAGACCCATGGGCCCCCCTCTCCAGCCACTCTGACTGCCCTGCCTTCCTGCAGAGGAAAGTGGATGTGGGGACAGCCTGGGGCAAGCTTTGAGGCTACCAGTGTCCACCATCCTGCTCTTCATGATGAGAAGGGTCCTCAGCAATCTGCCAGCCTCTCCCAGGGGAGCCCCAGAGGGTCCAGGGAGAGAGGCCTGAGTCCTGCTTTGGAGTGCCTGGCTGCGGTGCTGTGCAGGTGAGTGCCCGCTGGGAACATGTTCTCGCACAGCCCTTGGCTCCAGGTGACTTTTCTTTGCTTTTTAGCCATGTTGAACAGCAGAAAATGGGTGGGTTCTGGAGCTTGACACATTTGGATGTGAATCCCAGTTCCACACTTCACCAATGGTATAAAATGGAGCATACCACTGTCCCTTTCTGGAAGCTCTTAGAGATGAGAGCAGCTTGGGCAAATTCCCATTTGGGGGTCTCCTTAGACACTTAAAATATCTAAAAAGAATACATATTATGGGAGATTTTGAATGTTTACATTTAATCAAGTGATACTTTAACAAAAATAATAGAATGCAATGTAACTGTGCTATTCTCATGCTCACAAGATTTATTGGAACGTTTTAATTTTCAGTGCACTGCAAGGAAAGGCACTCTAGCTTCGAGCCGCCAGGTCTTTCTTCATCCCTGACAGCGAATCTTTGTGGCTGTAGGTGACCTCATTTGGAGATAATGAATACAAAGTTGATTGAAGGCCTTTTGTGAATGTGAGGCCCAGGCCAAATGGCCTTCGAGTTCCCTCTCCCAGCTTTCTCTGTCCCTCAGAGAGAGCCCATACTCCATGCACAGGACCTTATGAAGATTCATTGCAGCAGTGCTACAGAAAACACTTTAAAAAGAAAAGACAGCTACTTTTGACTTTATTAAACTGCTATTTATTACAAGACATTTTAAAGAAAATAAAAAGGCTAGTCACACTGGGAGGGGATGCTTATTATACATATAACCAATGTAGGATTAATATTAGTAATATATCAAGAACTTTTCCAAATCTGTAAGAAAAGCTCAAACAATTTAGTAGAAAAATGAGCAAAAGGCTAAAAGACTTGCACAGCCCTTTCACAGAAGAGGCGACACATATGGCCAATAATGACTTGAAGAGATGTTTGAAGCCATTGGTGATCTGCAAAATGAGAAGCAGGACCATAAAGATGAATCACTCTACACCAGTTAGACTGGCACAGGACGAGACGAGAGGTGGCAGAGAGAACGTGCAGTAACAGGTGGCTAATTGCTGATGGGAGTGTACTCAGTACAACCACTTTGGAAAAGAGTTTATCATTGTCTTGTAAAAAGGGACATTTACGTATCCTACAGCCCAGCAGTTCCACTCCAGTATATCCACCCAAAGTAAATGTCCACATGCACTCCTGGAAACAAGAAAGGCCATGGTAGCATTGCTTATAAAACCAAAACCCTGGAAACAATCCAAGTGACCAGTAACAGGGTAAAAAAAAAAAAAAATACTGTCTGCAATGAAATGGATGAACTATGGCTTCATTCAATAGTATGGATGAATCTTAGCAAAATAATGTTGAGGAAAAAGAATTAAAGGCAATTTCATATGGGTCAGCTAATAGAAAATAATATATTACATTATACCCTTTTAAAAATGCATGAAACAAACATGTACACACATCCAAAACAGTGACAAAATAGAAGATTCTCCGCAGTGGTTGCTGCAGATGGGAGAGGCAGAGCCCCGGGAAGGAGAGAAGCACGTTGTTGGATGTAAATCAGGGGTGAGTGTTAGGTTTAGATTAGTAGGAGTTTGCAAAGTTATTTTTATTTCTCATTATAATAAAGAATAACCGAGTTAATTTAAAAAGAGAGCCATGCCCGAACAGGTGGATGGGTGTCGTGAAGCGAGGGTTGTCATTAACCCCGTTCTGTGGGCCTATGCACTGTTCCACATAAAGAAGTCCAGACCGGGTCAGGCGGGATCAGCTCCCCACGCGGGCCAGCCCTTCCCTCCTGCAAGCTCCACGTGCAGTGCCTGCCCCGCCCTTGTGCCTCCTGGGCCACAGGAGGCAGCACACACCATTAAAGCCCTCTGGAGGGTGATGCGTCTGGAGGTGCGGCGTCTCCTTGTCATCTTGCTGACTCTAATCCATTGGCGACGCAGTAGTAGTCAGTCCTTCACCTTCTGGCGATATTTAGGGTCTTCCTTGTGAATAAAGCAATGTGAAAAATAAGGAATAGCCTTACAGCACAGAATCTAATCTTTCCTTCACTGTATAGGATGCATTTCGTTTATGACACCTTCATTTTATAAACCCTAAGCTGGCTTTGGAGGTCACAAATCTCTCTCTTGCATTTGGATCTCTAAGAAAAAAGCTGACTGCCGGAGCTAGACAAATGTTAAGCGTTTTATGACTAGTGTCATAAAAGTGAGTTTATAGTATTGTCAGAAAAGAAGTGTGCTGCATTTTTTACTGGTAGAAAAGCTCAGATTTACCCTCAAATCTTCCTTCTTCATGTGCCTGTTTGGGTGGCCATGGGACCTAGATGCTCATCTAAGGTTCTTCTCTCCTGCTACAGCGGCGCTGCCTCAGCCTCCTGCCCCACCCACAGGCTATGGCTTCAGAAACCTTGTGAATCCCTGCGCCTGCAGCAGACCAGGCTGGAGAGTGCCAGGCCCTGACTGAGGGCTATGACTAGAATCCAGCAACCATTAGGAAAAATCCATCAAGTAGAGTTAGGGGCTTGAGCCTCATATTTTGGGAGGAACATCTTTTCCAAATTCCAAACAGAGGCTGCTTCTGTGCAGTGCAGACAGCCTGGCAAAGCCCTCCAAGAGACTGTTCTTGGAAACTTCTTTAGCAATGGAAGGACAATCACACTTCTAATTTCCAGTTGCCCTTTGGTGACCCTGGCTCCATTTCCAGAGAGTGCTTGGTAGTGGAGCGATGTCTAATTGCAACAAAAGTCAAAGAGCTTGGTATCTAGGGTGAGCTTGGTATCTAGGGTAACCTTGGAGAGCTGCTATTATTTTTTTCTTGGGAGTGATGTGGCTGTTAATGACTTGAAAGCAATTTAGGCAGGAATTGCTTAGCAAGAGGTGAACCCTTTTCTGTAGTATCAGAACCAGAAAAAATTTATGTCATGGTTGTCTCACCACTGAAATCTGCTCTTTTGTGCCAGTGGTCACTGAGACAGGACAAGGGCAGATCTTCCTGGGCCCTGGTGAAGAGATCATGAAAAATTGGGAAGAGGAGGAAATTTGTATTTATTAAGTGACCACAATACACAGTTTTTACAACAAACCTACTGGGCACCCAGTAAGTCTTAATAGATACTGGATTGTTCCTGAGTGAGTCATCTGTCTGCTGTCAGGCTGAGGAAAGGCAGATAAACTGGGACATGGTTTTTGTCATCAGTTAGTGGGTTACCTTTCTTAGATTCCCTGATGGAGGGGACAAGTGAAATAGCTCCAGGTTCCTTTCAGGCTTGTCTCTTGATAACATTCTCTTGGGGTAAGAGATGTGTCACAGAGAGAGGAGAGAGGCAGCTTTCATTACTGCCAGCCACATGCACCTATCAGGCCAGAGAAAACACTACACCAAGGGTTGGCAAACTATGGCTCCTGGTTGAATTTGGGCCATAGCTTGTTTTTGTAAATAAAGTTTTATTGGAACACAACTTCACCAGTTCATTTATATACCATATAGGGCTTCTGTCCTGCTACTTCAGAAAAGTTCAGTAGTTGTGACAGAGACCATATGGCCCACAAAGCCTAAAGCATTTATCTGGCCCTTTATAAAAAAAAGTTTGAAGACTCCTGCTCTAGAGCAAGGGTGCACTGCCCCAGGCTCTACATCATCTAATAGCTCATGGGCACCTGTAGTATTAGATCATCTAGCTCTGCACACTCTAACAGCTCAAGAGA